TTATGCATGTTTAATCATGGCAAAACAGTCTCATGCAAGAGGTGACAAATTTCTTCATGTCACAAGATCACATGTCACAAGACCAAGGGAATAACATGTGACAATGCTTCTACATATCAGAATTTTCAAAATGCTGTCAAAGGTGGTAGCATTGACCAAGAGGAGCTGTCCAAGCACAAGCCAACAAAATGGGTGCAAGGCACAAAGTGCTGCAGAAAAAACAGCATAGGCAAAGTGCAACAGCAAAAATGCAGCATAGCTCTTGCATGGAAATGGAAAGAAAGAGAGTGGCATGAGAAAAGGTGGTAAGAGACACCACTCCATGAAAAATTTGATATGTGGGGAGAAGGGAAAACCCTAGAGGAGCTGAGATAAGAGGAGGGGGCTGTAAACAAAAAGGGATCACTCTTGATTCACTCAACATCCATCCACACACATTGCAAAACCAGAAAAAATAGAGAGAGAGCAATAGAAACCCTAAAAAACCAGAAAAATAGAAAGGAAGAAAAACCAGAAAAAGGAGAGTGAGATAGAAGCACAAGAGTATCCTTGAAGAGAAGAACCTTCAGAGCATAGAGTGAAGAGTGAAGCACATTCAACCAAAACCAAAGAGGACTTGCAAGAAGGATAGAAATCTCTTGGGTATCCATTCCTTCAAACCTTTCTCTCTTTATTTTTTTTCTTTTATATTCATTTCATTTACTCTCTTGTGTGTTGTTGTACTGTATATATCATGTAAGGTCCCATTAGGGACCAAGAAACCATTTTCAGGAAATCATAAAATGAAGGAAAACAAAGGAAAAAATTAGGTTTTTTCACTCTGGTAGCCTGACACGGGCCGTGTCACACAACACGGCCACCTGTGTCGCTCAACACGGGCCGTGTCACACAACACAGCCACCCGTGTTGCACCTCTGTTTGAGGTTTCAACTTACAAAATTCCTAGGACTTATGACACGGGCCGTGTCACACAACACGGCCACCCGTGTCACACAGCTGTTTGACCTCAAAAATCTTTTTTTTGTCCCAGACCTTATGACACGGGCCGTGTCACACCTCTGTCATGTCCTAAAAACGCACATTGCAGGTACCCTATGACACGGGTCGTGTCATACAACACGGCCACCCGTGTTACTCCACTGTTTTTCACTTATTTTGTCATTTTTACCTCAAAAAAATTTTTCCGTTTTTTTTGCATGTCTCGATTTTTTTTAGCCGATTAACCCCATATGTTTGCACGATTTTAGTGTGAATATTGCTATTGTTCTTGTTGACTTTTGATTCCAAAAACCATTTTCAAAAAAACAAACTCTCGATTTTGTCGAGCCATTTTTAACCTTGTAAGTCGGTTGCCTTGTGCACCGCCATCGACCTTGTCCGTATCACCTCAAATACTTTTTACAAACAATAAACCTTGATCCAACGTCAACTGGTCCTCTTTTCTCATAAAAATCCAAAACACAATCAAATATACGATTAGAATTATGCACCATGAGCTTTAAAGTGGTAGAGAAGGAATGAGAATGGAATCCTCCTACACTCGTTCCGAATGTTTTGAATACAAGGTGCTCGACTTGGTTATTCGAGACATTCATCTCTATCCAAAGTCTTTTGTATAATCCTAGTCAAGAATAGATTCTTCTCTCAGAAAAAACTAAAAATAACATCAACTCATCAAACTATTTTTCGCCTTAGGGCATTAATCGAAAATCCTTTTTCAAGGTATAAAATCAACCAACAAAAAACTATCTCGTAAGCCTCCGAACTACGGAGCTATGATTCTTCACTTCTTTTAAGTGAGGATACGTAGGCACAAGGGCCACAATCCTTGGCGAGCATTAAAATAAATAAACCAACCCCTCTTTTCCTTAAGCAAGCAAACTCTTAATAAAAACACTCATTCACGCTAAACAACCTAGGAAGTTCCCATCGAGTACGATGGATGCGAGGGGGTGCTAACACCTTCCCCTCGCATAACCGACTCCCGAACCCTAAGACTTGGTTGCGATGACCACGCTCTTTTCCCAAAGGTTTTATCGCTATTTCCCTTTCCCTCCTTGGGATAAATAAAATCTGGTGGCGACTCTGTGTCATTTTTCGCGTAGCGACAATGTCTCAGTGATATTTTTGAAGATGCATATCTAGAAATGTCAAGCGGAAAATTGGATAAAACATCACCTGGAATGCTCTTCTTCTTCATGCTCAAACAACGCTCCATTTTCAACCCCCCCCCCCCCCCCCTAAAAAAAGCTTCTTTCATTCTCAATGAATATTTCAACACCAAAACATCATTCTTATATTTCATCACATCAAAAGGAGTAAAAGAAGTTGGAATTGCAGGTAAAGTTCATTCATTTCTTACATTAATATGGTTTTAAAGAACATTTAGTTCAGATATGCATCTCCGGATAAAGTTTAGTGTGGTGCGAATATGCATATCTAGATTGTCTTGATAGTTTGAGTTTTAAATTCTAATTTTCTGTTATTTGTTGTATTAGATATGGTGCATCCAAATATGTTTCCCAAAGCTATTATGAGTGTGAGTGTTAAATTGATTGAAGTGAAACATGATTCTAAACTAGGTGAAGTGAATGATGATGTTAAACTGGGTGTTCGTCTGGTTGTTCTCGAGGTAGATGTTCATGCACAAGTTAAGAATAAACAAGAGTTTATGGTTCGTGAACATATGCTACAATGAGTCCGCATGGAGACCGAGAAATTTGGGTTTGACGTTGTAGTTGGAATGTCTGATAATGATTTGGATAAAAGACAAGCATTTGTAACAATGAGATGTGAAAGAACTGGCATGTACCAACCACATATTAGGAAGTTGAAACGAGATGACACATGATCGAGAAAATGTGAGTGTTTGTTAAAATTGCGCGTATGTCGTTTGATGGATCAAACATAGAAATTTAATGTGATTTCTGGTATACATAATCATGCCTTGAATGACAAGTTATCAGCCACTCTATTGTATGTCGAATTATTCCAGGGGAGAAGGAACTTGTTTTGGACATGATATTAAACATGGTGGCACCAAAAAATATGCTCGCATATTTGAAACGAAAAATGCCTCTAAATATTTCTAATGGATCATCATGAGGGAGAAACATATACATTGAGCCAAACACTCACCTAAAGGTCAAAGACTCACCTAAACAAGTGAGGGAGACATCACATATTCACGCAAAACCTTAAGGTGATAGGTGTATGAGTCCTCTTAATTATAAAGTGCTCAATTTTCACTTTTGTAAGCAATGTGGGACTTAGAACTCACTTATTTCATAACACAATTCACACTTGTTTCTCAACAATCTTTCCTTCAAGTGTTAGTCCATCCACTATACTCCCCTCAAGCGAAAGCTATTTCATCCACATGCTTGTACTGCCATTGAAAGACACCTTTATCTCGTCATGGGAACTTTAATGAAACATGCCTCCTGACCACCATGCCAGGAAGACTTTCGACACAAGGAGGCAGTCCCTTACTCAAACAATCGACTCTAATACCACTGATGGGTCATCGCGAGGGGAAAACATACACATTGGGTCAAACACTCACCTAAAAGTCAACGACTTGTCTAAACAAGTGAGATAGACACCACGTATTTGCCCAAAACCTTAAGGTGATAGGTGTATGGGTCCTCTTACTTATAAAGTGTTCAACCTCCACTTTTCTAAGCAATGCGGGACTTAGAACTCACACTTGTTTCTCAACACAATTCACATTTGTTTCTCAACAGTTTCAAATATCAAGCAAATATACAATGTATGTGCTCGAAACAACAAGGCCGTAAGAGGACCAAGATCTGAGATGCACAAACTATTGAAGCTTTTGGAAGATTACCCGTATGTTTCTAGGTACAGGTTTTATGAGGATATAGTCACCGTTTGAGATATATTTTGGAGTCATCTTGATTCCGCCAAGTTGTTCAACACTTTTCTCACGGTGCTCATAATTGATTCAACCTACAAAAACAAACAAGTATAAACTTCCACTTTTGAAAATTGTTGATGTTACTTCTATAGAGATGACTTTTTCAATCGATTTTGCATTTTTGAAAACTGAAAAAGAGGACATATTACATGACAAAACCACAGTTATGGGATATGGATTTTCTTCATGAAAACTCTGTATAGACTGACCAAACACAAGGATTGCTAACACCTAGTAAAATTCAAACTCAAAATTTTGAGAGGAATACACTCTCAAAACTCAAGCCTCCACCACTAGACCAACCCCTTGGGTTATATTTTTCACTAACTTATATGCACTTTCAAAATTCATGTCCTCCTATTCATACTACTTCCATCCAAGACATTACATGTGTCAATTTCTGTGATTCTTTGGTGAATGCTAGGTTATCTTTTTCCTTCTCACCCCTTTAGTTTTATAAATATAAACCTGTTGTGGTCTAAATCTATATTCACTTTTTATCAAATATTACTTTTGATGCTGATTTATGATGAATGTTCAGTTAATTATGTGCAAGTTATATAATATTTGAACACTAGCTTAAGGATTGCACAAGAGTTGACATCTATGCGACTAACCAGTAAGATTAATCGTCTGATCCACAAATCCATTATCTAGCTGTTAAAACCAAAAAGAAATGCAGCCCAGCCAATGGGATGAAGAAGAAAAGGCCATCACTTTTTACAAATATGATGCAATTCGGATTTTATTTGTAATTTAAATTTGACAAATTCATTAAGACTTTACTTCATTCTTTTCTTGGTAATGATTATTTGAGCCCCCAAAACCTTCAATCTGACAACCAGAATACATAGCCAGAATACACAGCCATTCAGTAGAGATGCTGCTACAAAAACTCTGATTAAGGTACAAAACGTAAACATACATGTGTTAAAACAAAGTCATAATAAAAATATGCTTTGCAGAAGAGGGGGAAAAACAGCAACTGCCCAATCTGCACCTAAAATATGTATTCATCCAAGTCAAATAAAGCTTATTGAATCATCCCAACAAAAATTAACTAGATACGTCGGCTCTTTGGCAGCCTGCAGCCATTATGGGGACGACGAGTTGTATCTTCAATGTATACAATTGGATTTTTATCCCCTCGGGAATCAGTAAACCCTTCCCTCCAGCTCAATATTGCTTGCCTTTTCCTTCGAAAATGAGTAAATCCATTGACTTTCATGACAACAGACTTTAACCCCAAACCTCTAGCTCTTCGTCCAACCACTTCTGCAGTTGCTTCAGCTGCATACCTAGAAAGCTTTTGTCCTGATTTCATGTCTTTCAAGGAACCAGCAGAGCCACTAAGTTTTACATTTCCTTTAGCATCGGTCACCGTAACAAAGGTATTGTTACGCAACATCTTTATATGAACAAAATCAGCATCATGCTCATAATGATACTGGTTGTATAGATAACTCCCCATAATACCCTTTTCATCTTCTTCTATAGATCCTCTCACAAAGTCCATCCGCCTGAAATTCCCATCAGTCTCAGCCTTGTTCTCACTTCTGGAGTTCATATTTTCTATATCCCGCAGAAAATCTGGACGAAGACTTGCATTTGAATTTGCACTCACATTCTCATTTTGATTCCTCCCACTCAAACTCCAACCTGCACTAGAAAATCTCCTGACATATCCTGCAGTTTCAAGAGTATGAAAATGACCCAAGGTTGTTGCGATGGCATAAAAAAACTAAAACTAAAATGATAGTGTCTATTTGATTATGTGGTGGCCAAAATTGTCTTTGAACCAATCAATTTTGTATAATTGCATCAAGTGTAAAATGATTCATGATTGGATACATTCATGTAAAAAGTGAATTGAACAATAGATTTAAGGCTAAAAATCAGGTTTGGATGCAAAAGCTCCAAATCAAGTTAGGATTCATTCAAGAGACAAAACTAATCCTACTCATAGATGCCCAAACATATCAAAAAAATTGTGTTTAGAATCACTTTTGCCTCTCACATAAGTGAATCTAAACATACACAGAGCAGTTTAAGGTATCCAGTTGCCTACTATCTATCTCTATCTCTATCGCTATGTTTTCTCGATTTCAGCCATTTAGGATCTAATTTTATGATAACATTATCTCCCATATATGAACGTGAGCTGAATATTATATCAAACAGTTCAGTTAAGAAATAAGCACACACAACTCAAGAACACCCAATTCATATACACAAACAACCATTCCAATCCACTGCTACATCAATCTTCCTACAAAAAGGAAAGAAAAATAAAATAAATTAATTGAACCCAAAAAACTGATCCCTTAGATTCAAAAAGACCCCATCAGAAAATTGTTGAGATAGTCTACGGATACTAAAACATGATTGATACCGGGATTTAAGGTATAGAGTTCAATATTGTATATCTATCTATCAATAACTAGTAACTGCTATACTTTTTCTGCTATCTTGATTTCAGCCATTTGAGATCCTATTTGTTATGAGAGCTTAGTATTTGATCAACCAATTTAAAAAAATTCAGTGTAGAACTAAAAGCACAAAAGCATAGAATTACACAAAAGCTAAATTCAAATACACAAAGCAACCAACCAATTATTCTATCTGCAATAAGTAAATAAAATTAAGTAATAAATCAATTCAACCCAAAACATGAAAAATAAAGTACATGCATTGAAAAATCATTGCACCATATCATTGAAAGGACCCAATCAAAAGAATAAAAAAGCATAAAATCTATGATTTTCAGCAAAGAAACCATGTAAATTTTAGATGGTATAATATGAGTCGAAAATGAAAGCAGATAGAAAAATCAAAGGGTTACCGCGCAAGAAGGTAGTATGAGATGGAAGTGTGGTTTTCGATCCAGAAAGAAGAGATTCACGAGCATGGCAAATGGAAGAACGCAAGTAGTGAAACATCGTCGTCAGTCGTCACAGATTAGTATGACTTGCAAAGGATGGCGTATCCAGGACTCTGCATCAGGATGCAAACTATTTAACATTAATTAATAATATGAAGAGTGTCTTCTATATTCATATTTTACAATTGTTGAATGACCAACTCATTGTCATTATAACATTTTTTAGACACAATACCAGAAGTATAATAATACAAGAAGCTCATCAAAAGAGAGCCATCAAACAAATAACTGCTGAAGAAAAACTACACGAGCCCGGCCCTAAACAGGTTGCAGGCTCGGCAGGGCCCGGAATTTCGGGCTTCGGTTCAACTTGAAGCATTATAACTAAACGAACCGGTGCTGGAATCAACAATAGTCCAAAGCTGAAACCAATAGAACTAACAAACAACATCAACATTGCAATGGCAACAGCAGAATCGGTAGTTGAATCAACAAAAGCAAAACTTAAAATACTGAAAACCTAATCACACAATTACATCAATCAACCAATACTGAAAACCTAATCACTCAAACCAACCATTACTGAAAACATGAAAACAAAAGATTGTAGAAGAAATCAAAACGCAGAAAACCAATACAGAACGAGAGGAAAGAAACTTACCAGAGCTGGAAGATGCCAAGTAGAGAAGGAGAGGAAGAGGATGTGATTGCGAACGAGGATAGGCGGAGGACGACGGTGCACGGATGGTTTGATTGCGATGAGATGGCGTACGAGAAGCAACTGAGTCGGATCGGAGAGAAGCGAACGGAGTGTGTTATTGTTGGATCGGACCGGTTTGGACCGGGGCATGTTACTGGTTTTTTCTTAGGAGTTTCTTTTTACACCATCTACATATCTCAAAACACCCCTTTTAGCAAATAGAATTTCATAGTTAATATTGTTCTTGTATTTTCAAAAGTGTATTTTTTTAATAAAACTAATAATAAATGTATGTTTACTGATTTATCACGCTGAGACAAATTTATTAAATAAAATTATGTGTTTGATAGAACTAATCATTTTAAAACATAATTGAAGTTATATCTATTATATATATACCAAGTTATTATATGGGTTAATATATTTGTAAATTGAAAAATGCAAGAAAAAAGATAATGCATTGAAAGTAACATAAATGAATTTGTACACAAGAAGAAAAAACATACCAAGTTCCATCAAAATCAATCATTTTCTTTAACTTATTTATAATATATATGAAATATTTTTTCTTCTCCATGTTTCATCTTATTTTATATTGAAAAGTAATTGTTGCGTTTTTCTCGTCTTTAAAGCAACAATTTGATGAATACAGTGAATAAAAAAGATGAACTCGTGTGAAATAATAATGAGTTGCTATTTGATTATTTACGGGCTATGGCTAGTTGCTGCACTGAGTTGGACAAAATAGATTGTTGAAGATAACGGTTAATTTTGCATGTGAAAAAAGAGAGATGATATAAGTTAAAGATTTTGTAAAAGTGTTACGAAATGTATATTATAGTTATAGTTAAATATAAGTTTAATTCATCTTTCAATCCTTTAATTTAATTTATGATTTCACTTAGATTCTTTATCTAATAAACGTCAGATTTTAGTCCATCAAAAATTATTTCGTTAATTAATTTAGCTCATTCTGTTAATTTTTAACTTTAAATGTCTTAGGCGAGACACTATTATTGAGTGTCTACCGTAGACTTTATTATTTTTTTAATTTTAACCATTTGATCTTTTTAAAAAATTGTACACTGTTGAATTTTGATAGTCTATTTATTATTTCAGTACACCATCAACACCTAATATTTTTTACCTATCTTCATCTTCTTTCCCTTTCTTCATCTTCATCACCATCTTCATTAATTTTTATCAACTTTTTAGAAAAATTAAAATTCTAGAATACTTCTCTAAAATTTTTTTGAGATCATAAAACTCAATTTATGTTACAATTACTTAATATTTAATTTGTTAATCTTAAATTTTTTTTATCCTTTTAATCATTATTACACTAATTCAAAATTTCCAACAAAGAGGTTGGTGCTTATGACAACGAAGACCTTTTTTTTATATCTTTTTATTGTTCATCTTCTTCGTGTAGTGGTGTTAGCAATAAAAACGAAACTTATTTTGGGTTTGATTTGACTTTAATTTAGGGTTCTTCAAATGGGTTTGTGAAAAAAATTGTAAGAAATATGTAATTGATTTCAAAGAGGGTTAAGCATATAATCTGGGTTCTTGATATAGTTTGTATTCAAATGAGTTTGTGTTCACTTATAATAAGAAATAGAGAGAGTAGTAGATATGCTTACCAAATTGGATATAGATGATTTGCCAAAGAACGTGAAACCCTAGAAATTACTTTTCTCTATTATTTTTTAATTTCTAATTTTAGTTTTACTTTTTTTTATTTAATGGGTAATTTTAGTTTCACTTTTGTTTATTGGGTTATCTTGAATTTTATGAAATTTTATTTAATTTTATTTTTTTTTATTTTAATTTTGTAAAAGATAGATGTACAATTTGTTAGTTATTAATATATTATCAATATCGGATAAAAAAAATTCTAGAAATTTATGAGATTTTAATGAATATGGTGATGAAGAAGATTAAGAAGAAGGTAAAGATACCTAAAAAGAATTTGTTGTTGATGGTGCACTATAAACATTAATAAGCTCTCAAGATCCAAAGGTGTAAAATTCATCAAAAAGATTAAATGATTAAAATTATGAAAAATAATAAAGTCTATGATGGACACACAATAGTGTCTCACCTAAGACATTTAAATTTAAAAGTGAACAGAATGGACTAAAATGACTAACGAAAAAGATTTTGAAGGACTAAAATGTAATGTTTATTAGATAAAAGATTAAAGTGAAAACTTAAATTAAGTTAGGGGACTCGACGACCAATTAAATTCAAAATAAAAAAATATTTCAAATCAATTAAAATAGTTCCATGTCAACCAAACAAATACAGTTGGAGCGACACGTATGCAAATGTTAACGATTTTTGCAAAAATTTAACGGAAATAACTAATGTGAGTAACGGAACGTGATTTGAGAGACTTAAAAGAAACGTTTATTAAATAAGAGACTAAAGTGAAATCTAAAATTAAGTTAAAAGATCAAAGGATACATTAAGCCTTAAATATAATATCTAATTGTAAAGTGTAATGATAGATGAAACTCGTGAATGGAAAGTGTAATATAGTTAAGTAAACTAGAATAAAAGGTATAAAGTTTTCTCTTGAACCACTTATTCTTTGTATGCACTAAGGTAGTAGGCATTGAAAAGTGGAGACTATTATTTATCGGTGTCTTTTATTTTATACAATTAGGGTTTTTTTGTTTTGTTTTGTTTTCTTACCACTCTTATTAGAGAGTAAAATAGGGTCACATATTTGTTAGCCTTAGATGCCTTAATGAACAATGATAGATATTTGATCTAAGTATTTCTTAATACATTTTAAAATCTTCTATTGTAACACGTGAATTTCTACAAATGTTCTTTATTCTTGAAGATGTATCTCTGTACACACCTCTTGCACACTCAAATAAAGTTATTCTGAGAGGCGCCTCATATGTTAGGTTACTTTTATTCTAAAGATGCATATCCAGAACATTTTAAGAAAAACCTTAATTATTTATCAGTTTAGTAGATATTCCAGAGATGTATCTCCAGAATTATGGACAACATTTTGAAATTTTATGCCACCTTTATATGTTAGATATTTTTGGAGATGCATATCTGAAAATATCTGATATAGAAACCACCAGCATGATCACATAGCCATTGTTGATATACTTGGTTTTCATCCAAACCCTTAACCCTAAAAACCCTACATTCTCAATCCATTTTTGTTCACTTCAAATCTCCATCCTTTTGGTTCATCATATCATAGGGAGGAAAAGAAGATAGAATTTCAGGTAAAGATTTTTCTTTTCCCTCTGCATTGCTCACATTAATCTTTCTTTTTTCTTGAATAAAGTTACGTCGTGTCCGGAAATGTATCTCTGAAACGTATATGAACTTGTTCGGAGATGCATTTCCTTAAGTTGATTGTGTTCATTTCTGAAGTCATTCTGCAACAGTAGTATCCCTTATGTTTTGTTATTGTTTTAATTAGATATGGTGCACCCCGATGTTTTCCCAAAACAAGTTGTTTCTCCGAATGTTCAAGGTGTGGTTGTTTCTCCGAATGTTCAAGGTGTTGTTATGAAGGTGGTAAATGTTGGCAACAATTTTAAAAACAAGCAAGAGTTTGAATCTCGTGATCAAATATTTCAATGGATTTTTATGGATACCTCTAAACTTGGATTTGGTGTGGTTATCGGATGGTCTGATAATGGTTCAGATAGAAGATACGCCTTTGTGACAATGACGTGTGAAAGAAGAAGGAAATATCGAACTCCTCTCCGGAATTTATAAAAAAGATGACATCGGTATAATCATTTAAAGGCACCTTGCATGATCGCTTCGGATAGCAACGATTTTAAAATTCATTTTATTTTGGGATAACATTGCAAGTTGTGTAAAAAATGAAAAAGTTTCATCTTTACTATACAAAAACATGACCTAACAAAATCTCGAGTAATCGTCTACTATCACAAAATCATAGTAATTACCGCATATGGTTTTGGTCCTTGAGGAACCAAATAGATCCATATAAAAAATTTCAAGAGGTATCGATGTTGAGACAATGTTTTTCGATTTAAAAGAGACTCTTGTTTGCTTACCCATTAGGCATACATCGCATAGATGGTCTTTTGAAAACTTTATTTTTGGTATAGCAGTTACTAAATCTTTTGAAGTCACTTTGTTCAGTAAATCAAAGTTGATATGATCTAGGCGTCTATGCTATAACCATAAGTCTTCACTCATGGTCACTAGACACTTAGTTCCTATCAAGGATACGTCATCTAAGTTAAGCATATAGGTGTTATTAACCCTCAAGCCTTTAACAAACAATCTTTTTTATCATTATGTTCAAACAAGCAACAAGTATTTGTAAAAGTAACTCTAAA